GGTGGAACCGACCTTCGAATCTCTTCACCCAACACTTCTACTCGAAATGGAAGTAATCCCAACAATTGTGGTCTTTATATGTTTTTCTGTAATGTATGTCAATACTTTTGGGGCTCCAACTCATCAAGCTTTATTGGGGAGACCTTCATTTTGTATGAAAGTGCGAGAAGAAGAGATTGGTAGGTTGATCTCACCAGAAGACGATAACTGATTCTCGTTGTACCGTAGCCGTTTAGCTTTAATTTGACGTTCAGTTTGACGCAATCCACGAGACATCCTCATTCATTTCGGGTGAAGACAGGATGAGCTTACGTCCATCATGTGATGAATATCATTAGAGCTGGAACTCACTCTTGAAAGTCTCACGCAAACACTACATCAAGAAGATATGAAGACCAAGATGGTGTGGCCTTTTGTGTGGTTGCAGTCTCCTTTCGTTCTATAGAGGTTGTTTGACCTTGTTTTCACAACTTGGTCATGTTGGTAGGAAGACTTAGAGGAACGCATCTAGTCCGGAATCCATTGTATGCATGAGCATTTCCAAAGTCGGACTGTAGACGTGGTATATTCCCCGAGGTTTCGCCGGCATCGTAGTCGGCATTGTCAGTGAGTCTCGCCATTCTTAGCACCACACAACAACTCGTCAAAGAGACAAGTGAAGCCAAGACTTGACGATGAGACTTATTCATAGGCTTGAGCCTCGAATTAGCTACTCAGACGCAGAGTGTGGGAAATAACGCCTCGAGTAGCACAGATGGGGTGGCAGAGGTCGAGTGAAATACATAAACCAGGGCGTTAGCAGACGGGTTCTACGGGGCAAGAGGGAGACTCTGATAGGACCTAGGGGAAAGAGGACTGCGTAACAATATGGCAGACTCTGATCAACATTCCGAGCACAAGGGTGAAGGAGTGAGAACGACAGTGTGGAGTGTGAAGAGTTTTCATGAATGCCGCTAAAAGGAGGACACCACACTACATCAAAATAAACACGGAAAAATTCTAACATTGAAGGCGTGAAATCGACTGGAAATCGCCCGAAGGGTTGGCTGCATGTCGTGAAAATACGAGAAAACGCAAGATCCGAGAGGCTATTGATATCCTGACTAAGAGAAATCTAATAACAGGAGACTTGAAGAAGGCAAGATTAGCGAAGACCTTGCATATTGCGTAAACAAACTAGGAGAAGACAAGACAACAGGAAGATCAGCAAAAAGAAGACGACTGAAGTAAGGTAATATCTTTAATTTTAGGAAAAGATATCGCAAGGGGATGAGAAAGGAAGTATCAGAAGCAAAGAGGATACGTTTTCAGTGAGTCTTATCAAAACAAGTAGAACCCCGACATTTGTGGGTTGGCACAAAAGAGACTGGGACATAAGAAGTGATAGTCACGGTAATATAGATAGAAACAGGAATGACGGGGTGGAGACTAAAGCTGTTTGGCTAACAATAGACGTGTCTGATCTTGAATGTGATCCTTCAATCACGACTATTGTTAGCCAACCGGCTTTAGCTTCCACTGTTTGTATCCTCTTTCTATCTATAATACCAAGCCTATTACTTCCTATGCTATAGTCTATTGTGTGTCAACCTACAAATGTTGTAGTTCAACATTCAACATTAAACCAAATTAAAACAAGCAGTACCACAATATTTGTGGGTTGGCACACAAAAGACTAGGGCATGGCAAATCATAGACTTGGTATTAGGGACAGTAACAAGATAGAGACGGCGGGGACGGGAGCTAGTTGGCTCACGGTAGGTCTGTTGTACCAGAGACGTGGTACATGTAGGAAAGGGGTGACCATGACACTCCGAGGCTTGTGCCTCAAATTAGTCACCCAGACGCAGGGGAGGACGAATAACGCCTCGAGTAGGACGGATGTGGTGGCAGGAGTCGAGTGGAATGGGTGAACAAGGGGTAGAGCAGACGGATTTTACGGAGCAAGAGGGAGACTGTAATAAGACTAGGAAAGAGGACTGCATAACAATAAAGCAGACTCTGATCAACATTCCCTGCACAAGGATGAAAGAGGGGGAGGGAGAACGACAGTTGGAGTGTGAAGGTGTCATGTCGCTCAAAGGAGCACACCACACAATCTAAATAAACACGGTAAAAATTGTAATAGTGAAGGCATGACAGGATGATACCGGAAACGCGAATAACCCATGGTAGAAGCGGAGATACCACAATTGTTTAGCACATGTTTGGTCAAAGGATCGTCTTCACTTGTCTCTTTGACGAGTTGTAATAAGGTGCTAAGAATGTCGATGCTCACTGACGATACCGGCGAAACGTTTGGGAATGTACACGTCCACGGTTCAACTTTTGAAATGATCATGCAGACAATGGACTCCGGAATAGGTGAGTGTGACTAAAGTTAGAACAATCGCTAAGTGGATAGTCTTCTTGACCTAGTGTTAGTGTGAGACCTTTATAAGAATGAGCTCCAGCTCTGATGATGTACATCATATGATGGCCAAAAGCTAACCCCTTTTTCACGCGAAACGAGGGAAGAAGTTTCGTGGACTGCGTCAACCTGAACATCGTATTAAAGCCATACAGCTGCAGCACAACTGTATTCACCTATCGTCCGCTGGTGAGATCAACCTATGAATTTGTTTTTCCTACACTTTTATACAAATGAAGGTCTTCACAACAACCTGTAATCAGCCTAATGTCGTTTTCACAACCCCTTTGTGCTCGTTTGATACACTGTATTCGGATAACTTATTAAAAGGCAGATGCTCATACCGAATTAAAGGACAAGGAAGGTTACAAGCCAGAAGCTCTAAAGATTAAGCTGTGAATACTGGCCCTAGTGGAAACGAGAAACCTGGGAATGTTGATGACTACTATAGCAGAGGACTAAGCTATCCTGAAAACACGACAAAGCTGCGAAAAAAAGGTCAGACCATTTCTATACATCGAAAAGAGATTGCGACCAAAGCAGAAGCCACAATATCTTGCTCTTCATATCTACGTCTTAGTTTAAATGGAACAAGGTAACTATGTCTCCGAAATTCTTAAATGCTACTTATAATAACCAATAAATGCTTCTGATAGGTCATTTTCACCCTCATTTGATGGAAGTCAGTTAAGCGTGAGGTGGTGAATACCGTAGTTTGAGATGAAAGACAAAAGATACAACCATGACTTCCAGACTATTCGAGAGTGATTGGGCTGCGGGGTACCTTGAGTCAAATGCCCCAAAGCAGATCTACCTCGTTCGTGTTCTCGGGTTGCAGGTCCCTGGAGACGCGTTGCTGGCGCACATCTCCAATCTCGATAACAGGGCTGTAATTGGGCTTCGATTCTTGACTGGTCTCGGCAGACTGGTTCCTACCGGCGGGGCTGACCGAGGAGGATGACACTCCAGTTTCGATAAGCAGGCGCAGAGGATATGATGCATAACCAATCATGCGGAAGCGCCGCGTCTGACGATCGTTGATGAGCATTGTGAGCCGCAAAGTATGGTTGAGGAAGTCGTGGTATGGTAGCTGACAGCCGAAAGTAGAGGCACGTGAGTGTAAAAATTCATAAACTAATAAATACCTACACCTCAATATCTCTCTCAAAGTCATACTTCTTCAACCCAGGTTGGGGTTATCAGAAATCTGTGTCTATAAATACGTTGCATGTTGGTATGATGCTAAAATAAATGATAGCGATACTAATCACGATGAAGCCAAGAGAAGACTTAGATTTGCACTGAAATTCACTGCACCTCTAGAAATATTCAAACCTTTAACTGGTAAGATCATGGACAAATACATTAGCACATAGGCACCATGACGCCGTTTGGTCGCAGAGCAAGAAAAAAATTCAACAAAACATAATATGTATTCCCATTGTTATGCAAGAGCTCTCTTTTACTGGGACATTTAGGCCGACAGACTCGTACATAATCGAGCATAAATGAATTCCGCGTCATATAAACTTATTTATCTTGGTCATTTTTAGCGTTAAAATGATTGTATACATCCTCGGGTATGCGTGTGTATGAGTGGGCAAGTGACTTTGCCACCGACTACGCCCCAATAAAAGCTAACTTCTGCATACCGAGTACAATCCGTCGTCTTCTGGATAGATCAATCTAAGAGTTATTTGATGAAAATCAACTCAATAGTGTACTGATTTAAGCATTCTTTAAACAGTAACAGATTTAAGCCTCTCTTACATATAATGGTTTAAGATTGCATAAGTTATCTCTAGCTTCTCTCAATATGACTTTTAGGTTGCGTGCTCCTCTTTCCTATACTTTTTTCATCAAAATTTGTCCTTTTAATTCCCACCGAGTACCCATTCAAGCTCACAGTCTGATGTTTATTCTCTTTCTCCCACGTCTCCAACTTACTCTTTCTGAATTTTATCTCCTCTAATTTTCTAATTTTCCTCTTGCTTCATATACTTTTTCTTCTCTCTCTCTCTCTCTCTCTCCCTCTTACTGTCTCGTCTTCCACTTTGTCTTTCTTGTCTTCTTCTTTGGCCGCATGCCTAAATAACATGTACTTGCGTGCCTACTTGTAAGACGCTCATCCAAGTGCATGCCTCGCTGGGTTGCCTGCTTTGTCTTTTGGCTCAGGCATCTTGCGCCAGCCTACTTTTCCTGGCCTCCCGGCTTTTCAGCATTCGACTGCTTTGGCGATGGCAGAGGCGATTTGATAGCCTTTTAGCGGGCATCTCAATATGAAATATCCTTATTTAATGAATGGGATTATGGAAAGAAAGGAAGGAGAGTCAGTGAGTAGGAGGATGCGCTCAGTTGACTTAAAGTTCAGCTTCAGCTCTAACCGACAGGCTAGCATGCGAACAACGTGTGTCTGCCCACTCACGGTTACATATCACAAGTCGAAGGTTTCTGTCACTTGGCTTTTGTACAGCCTCAGGGCGGCAGACAAAAGTGCAGATGATGAACACGTTGGAACGTAGGTTCAATGCCCTTTTATTCACCCTCATTTACCCCCAATCCGTGGAATAGATAAAAAAATGAACCGATCACTAGTTATGAAATTGGGGTCAAAATGGGATCCCATGATCACGATTGGTCACCGTCGTCTATCATACTGCTGATATTGACATTGTATTGTGATGATATCTATCCCACGATGATTGAAAACCACAGCAAAGACCAATACGGAGTCGATGGATGGCTCCCACAGACCTGTTAAACTCGAATCGACAATCAACGAATTTCTCTTGAATTCCAATGACAACAAGCCCAAGGTTCCCGTCGATCCATCAGGCTAACGGTCCGAATATATAATACTTTTTGTCTGTTTCAAAAACCCACCTCTTATGACTGACAATTTAGACGTGGCAAATTCTATTCCATGGTTTGATTTTACTTTCATAGCTAGGCCATGCTCAAAGAAAGACTTTAATAATCGTGCCATGCACATCATTTCCCAGGGTTCTAACCATTTCTTCCCCTATAAAAATTCTTCGTAATCGAAGCATTAATGCGAAAACTCATGATGAACATCAAATTACAGTTCGTCGACCTAACCTAGTCGCTCTGAAAGGGTACGCATGCATTAACACAATCATGATTGAGTAAATTAAGCTTCTGTGGGTATATTTGGAGAGCAATATGAATTATGATACGTTCTGAATTTACTTTGAGCTCATGAATATAAAACTCAAGAAATATGCGTAATTAGGTTCATTTATGAGAATCCGAGTCACCTTTTGTTACACAAAAATACACAATGACGGAAATTTGAAGCCATTCCAACGAAATGAGTAAATGTATCTTTGTGGTAACTATGCCGATTGACCCACGAACAGATTTCAAATCCCTTTGGGGATGCAAATGGGGCTAAGCTGATTACAATTCAATGGCATGCTGAGGTCTTCTAATAATTTCAATTTGCGAAATTCAATTATAAGCGTCCTATAATGACTGTATTTCCTATAAAATTGAAAAAACTAACCTAGCTCATAAAAAATCGGTGAATCTCTGAAATAAATGCTTTAGAGAAACAATGATGACTGGCTGTACAAATTATCGTATGAAATTTCAGGATAAGGCTGACTGAACTTTCGATGACGATGGTAAGCGAATGCCCGATTTGATCACCCGAAAATGATAATGAGGTTCATGATTTCGATCTCTTCGCGATTAGGTCAGTCCTTGAAACAGGATGCGAGCTCTTTGAAAAAAGGGCCCATGCAGTATCAAGTTAGAAGATGAATACCAATTCTCAAAGTGAGTCAAGCCTGCCTCATTCATAAAGCAAACCAAAGGTTGTGCAGCAATAGACAAACCCCATTTGCCAATCAATTTGCTAATTTGCCGAAGTGTATTCTGTGATCGTATGGACATACATACAAGGAAAATCGAATAAAATAAGGTGAAGCTTCAGAGAATCGGCTTCTAGGTTCTGCAATGCCGTACTTATTCTGACGTGTGGATGTATTCAAATAATGCTATAAAGTGAGTTAGAGCTATAACCATCCTAGGTCGAATAAGGTGAGAAAAGAGCTGATTGATGAATTTTCCCACAATGTTACAGATAGGCCTCACAATGCCATTGCAGTTCAGTTAGCCTCGCCTACAAAAAGCTATTCTCCTTCAGAGTGAAATCGCCTGGGTCTCG